CTCTGATCTTTCTCTGGTCTTTCTCTGATCTTTCTCTGATGTCTCTCTAGCCTCTCTCTTTCTGGTCTCCCCCTCCCTCTCTTTCTGATCTCTCTTTCTCTGATCTTTCTCTGATCTTTCTCTGATCTCTCTCTAGTCTCTCTCTTTCTGGTCTCTCCCTCTCTTTTTTCTGATCTCTCTCTCTCTCTGATCTTTCTCTGGTCTTTCTCTGATCTCTCTCTAGTCTCTCTCTTTCTGATCTCTCCCTCTCTCTCTTCCTGATCTCTCTTTCTCTGATCTTTCTCTGATATTTCTCTGATCTTTCTCTGATCTTTCTCTGATCTCTCTCTCTCTAGTCTCTCTCTCTCTTCTGATCTCTCCCTCTCTCTCTTTCTGATCTCTCTTTCTCTGATCTTTCTCTGGTCTTTCTCTGATCTCTCTCTAGTCTCTCTCTCTTCTGGTCTCTCCCTCTCTCTCTTTCTGATCTCTCTTTCTCTGACCTTTCTCTGATCTTTCTCTGGTCTCTCTCTAGTCTCTCTCTTTCTGGTCTCTCCCTCTCTGTCTTTCTGGTCTCTCTTTCTCTGATCTTTCTCTGATCTTTCTCTGTTTTTTTTGTTTCTGATCTCTCCCTCTCTCTCTTTCTGATCTCTCTTTCTCTGACCTTTCTCTGATCTTTCTCTGATCTCTCTCTAGTCTCTCTCTTTCTGATCTCTCCCTCTCTCTCTTTCTGATCTCTCTTTCTCTGATCTTTCTCTGATCTTTCTCTGATCTTTCTCTGGCCTTTCTCTGCTCTCTCTCTAGTCTCTCTCTCTCTTCTGATCTCTCCCTCTCTCTCTTTCTGATCTCTCTCTCTGATCTTTCTCTGATCTTTCTCTGATCTCTCTCTAGTCTCTCTCTTTCTGATCTCTCCCTCTCTCTCTTCCTGATCTCTCTTTCTCTGATCTTTCTCTGATCTTTCTCTGATCTCTCTCTAGTCTCTTTGTTTCTGATCTCTCCCTCTCTCTCTTTCTGATCTCTCTTTCTCTGGTATTTCTCTGATCTTTCTCTGATCTTTCTCTGATCTTTCTCTGATCTCTCTCTAGTCTCTCTCTCTTTCTCTCTCTCTCTCTCTCTCTCTTTCTCTCTCTCTCTCTCTCTTTCTCTTTCTGATCTCTCTTTCTCTGACCTTTCTCTGATCTTTCTCTTGTCTCTCTCTAGTCTCTCTCTTTCTGATCTCTCCCTCTCTCTCTTTCTGATCTCTCTTTCTCTGATCTTTCTCTGATCTTTCTCTGATCTCTCTCTAGTCTCTCTCTTCTGATCTCTCCTCTCTTGTTTCTGATCTTCTCTTTCTCTTATCTTTCTCTGAATCTTTCTCTGATCTCTCTCTAGTCCTCTCTCTTTCGATCTCCCCCCCTCTGCTCTTTCAGATCTCTCTTTCTCTGATCTTTCACTGGTCTTCTCTTATCTTTCTCGTGATCTTTCTCTGATCTCTCTCTCTAAGTCTCTCTCTCTCTTCTGCTCTCTCTTTCTCTTCTCTTTCTGATCTCTCTTATCTCTGATTCTGTCTCTGACTTTCCCTCTGATCTTTCTCGGGTGGGGGGGGTGATCTCTCTCTCTCTCTCTAGTCTCTCTCTTTCTGATCTCCCCCTCCCTCTCTTTCTGACCTCTCTTTCTGACCTCTCTTTCTCTGATCTTTCTCTGATCTTTCTCTGATCTCTCTCTAGTCTCTCTCTTTCTGATCTCTCTAGTCTCTCTCTTTCTGATCTCTCCCTCTCTCTCTTTCTGATCTCTCTCTCTCTCTCTGATCTTTCTCTGATCTTTCTCTGATCTCTCTCTAGTCTCTCTCTTTCTGATCTCTCCCTCTCTCTCTTCCTGATCTCTCTTTCTCTGATCTTTCTCTGATCTTTCTCTGATCTTTCTCCGATCTCTCTCTAGTCTCTCTCTTTCTGATCTCTCCCTTTTTCTTTTTCTGATCTCTCTTTCTCTGATCTTTCTCTGATCTTTCTCTGATCTTTCTCTGATCTCTCTCTAGTCTCTCTCTCTTCTGATCTCTCCCTCTCTCTCTTTCTGATCTCTCTTTCTCTGATCTTTCTCTGATCTTGCCCTGATCTTTCTCTGATCTTTCTCTGATCTCTCTCTAGTCTCTCTCTTTCTGATCTCCCCCTCTCTCTCTTTCTCATCTCTCTTTCTCTGATCTTTCTCTGCTCTTTCTCTGATCTCTCTGTAGCCCTCTCTGTCTGGTCTCTCCCTCTCTCTGTTTCTGATCTCTCTTTCTCTGATCTTTCTCTGATCTCTCTCTAGTTTCTCTTTTTCTGATCTCTCTCTCTCTCTCTTTCTCTCTCTCTCTCTCTCTCTTTCTCTCTCTCTCTCTCTCTCTCTCTCTCTTTCTCTTTCTGATCTCTCTTTCTCTGATCTTTCTCTGATCTTTCTCTGATCTCTCTCTAGTCTCTCTCTTTCCTTTCTGATCTCTCTTTCTCTGATCTTTCTCGGATCTTTCTCTGATCTCTCCCTCTCTCTCTTTCTGATCTCTCTTTCTCTGATCTTTCTCTGATCTTTCTCTGATCTCTCTCTAGTCTCTCTCTCTTCTGATCTCTCCCTCTCTCTCTTTCTGATCTCTCTTTCTCTGGTTCTTTCTTCTGATCTCTCTCTAGTCTCTCTCTCTTTCTGGTTCTCTCCCTCTCTCTCTTTCTGATCTCTCTTTCTCTGATCTTTCTCTGGTCTTTCTCTGATCTCTCTCTAGTCTCTCTCTCTTTCTGATCTCCCCTCTCTCTCTTTTCTTCTCTCTGATCTTTCTCTCTTCTTTCTCTGGTCTTTCTCTAGTCCTCTCTCTTTCTGATCTCTCCCTCTCTCTCTTTCTGATCTCTCTTTCTCTGATCTTTCTCTGATCTTCTCTGATCTCTCTCTAGTCTCTCTCTCTTTCTGATCTCTCCCTCTCTCTCTTTCTGATCTCTCTTTCTCTGATCTTTCTCTGATCTTTCTCTGATCTCTCTCTAGTCTCTCTCTTTTCTGATCTCTCCCTCTCTCTCTTTCTGATCTCTCTTTCTCTGATCTTTCTCTGATCTTTCTCTGATCTCTCTCTAGTCTCTCTCTCTTTCTGATCTCTCCCTCTCTCTCTTTCTGATCTCTCTTTCTCTGATCTTTCTCTGGTCTTTCTCTGGTCTTTCTCTAGTCCCTCTCTCTTTCTGATCTCACCCACTCTCTCTTTCTGATCTCTCTTTCTCTGATCTTTCTCTGATCTTTCTCTGATCTCTCTCTAGTCTCTCTCTCTCTCTTCTGATCTCTCCCTCTCTCTCTTTCTGGTCTCTTTTTCTCTGATCTTTCTCTGATCTTTCTCTGATCTTTCTCTGACCTTTCTCTGATCTCTCTCTAGTCTCTCTCTCTTTCTGATTTCTCCCTCTCTCTCTTTCTGATCTCTCTTTCTCTGATCTTTCTCTGATCTTTCTCTGATCTCTCTCTAGTCTCTCTCTTTCTGATCTCCCCCTCCCTCTCTTTCTGATCTCTCTTTCGCTGATCTTTCTCTGATCTCTCTCTAGTCTCTCTCTTTCTGGTCTCTCCCTCTCTCTCTTTCTGATCTCTCTCTCTCTGATCTTTCTCTGATCTTGCTCTGATCTCTCTCTAGTCTCTTTGTTTCTGATCTCTCCCTCTCTCTCTTTCTGATCTCTCTTTCTCTGGTATTTCTCTGATCTTTCTCTCATCTCTCTCTAGTCTCTCTCTCTTCTGGTCTCTCCCTCTCTCTCTTTCTGATCTCTCTTTCTCTGATCTTTCTCTGATCTTTCTCTGGTCTCTCTCTAGTCTCTCTCTTTCTGATCTCTCCCTCTCTCTCTTTCTGATCTCTCTTTCTCTGATCTTTCTCTGACCTTTCTCTGATCTCTCTCTATAGTCTCTCTCTTTCTGATCTCTCTTTCTCTGATCTTTCTCTGGTATTTCTCTGATCTCTCTCTAGTCTCTGATCTGATCTTTCTCTGGTCTCTGTCTAGTCTCTCTCTTTCTGATCTCTCCCTCTCTCTCTTTCTGATTTCTTTTTCTCTGATCTTTCTCTGATCTTTTTTTGATCTCTCTCTGGTCTCCCTCTTTCTGATCTCTCCCTCTCTCTCTTTCTCTCTCTCTCTCTTTCTCTGATCTTTCTCTGATCTTTCTCTGATCTTTCTCTGATCTCTCTCTGGTCTCTCTCTTTCTG